TACAGCATTTGTAAATAGGGTTGCAGATGGGAGTTGTGTTCCTCTGGACTAATGCAAAGCTCCATGTAAGGTAGAATAGTAGAGCAACTGTATTTTATTGGATTACATTCCTAAGCCCTAGGGATGCACGGATTGTGAAATTCTGGACTGACACCAATGATTAAAACATTTCAGCCGTTAGGCTGTGCAGATACAGATTTTGTTAGTTTGCATTGTTTTTGTAATGATTCATTCTGACTTCTTGTACCAAAGAAATTTATCTTTGTTATAACATTAAATAAATAACTGTCAGGCCTTGATTACATTATCTTGGATCAATTCATTTAAATTTATTAAACTGGACCCCAGATACAAACAAAAGAAGAACACAAGCCACTGCCATCAGTGAATGTAATATCGGGGTGTTTGCTACATATATAACATTTTTTTAAAAAGAAAAAAAAATATCTCCCCGTCACAGAGAATTTGCCCTTCAACTAAAGGGAAAATCACCAGGTCTATTATAATAATAATAATAATAATAATAATAATAATAATAATAATAATATATTGGTTAGAAATATGTCAAGGTTTATGTTGAGTTTACTCAACATTAAAATACATTTAAGGTTTTCAAATGGTTAAAAGAAAAAAACAAAAAAACAGAAACAAAACAAAACAGGAAATACTTAGATTTCTGTTAAGTAAGGTAACAGACTTTTTGCATACAAACTCATGCTCACACACATAGCCAGCTGCCCCCCACCCCCACTCCAAAAGGGCTGGTTTGAGCCATGAAAATCCCTTTTACTTATAGGCCGATGGCAGTCAAGACAAACACAATCCTACTAAGCCCAACATTTAAGAGGAGCTGACTAAATGATTCAGATGCACCCTTCAAACACACAAGACTACTGTCTTGAAGACTAAACTTTCACTGTTCTCAATGCTTCCCCTTTCTTTACTTTGAATTAAAATGAAGTTAAAAACCAAAAAGAATTCCAAGCAGTTTCTTTCTTTGACATTTGGAAGTCTGAGGATTTCTGGCATTTGGAAGGAAATAGTTTTCCAAATGCCAAAGTTTTCTCTTCCTTTAGGCTCAACATTAACTGTAAGTACTCAGTGACTATGGTCTTGGAACCCAATGGATAAAAAACCTTCTGCATATATTTAACTGTTACAAAGGGCTAAGGCAAACAGGACTGTCAGTCATTTCTCCATAATGCGACACTGCAGCACTGTAAAGGCATGCTAGTCATGTGCGTGAACCAGTAACCTCGGGGTCATATGTTAAGTGTTGGGAACAGCAGCCTCACACAGCCACACCAAATATCATATGGAACATTCCTTAGAGTCCTTTAAAACAGGGCGAGAGAGGCGAGCAACAGCAAAGGGTCACAGAGGACGCTCACAAAGACTGTGCTGCACAGGACTGAGCAGAGGGAGTGGAAGATAAGATGTAACTGCTTGATTTAAACCTCCCACCAACTGCACTTCCAAAATTTCCGATCAGTGAGGTTGAGAATCCCTGGTTGCCCCCTTTTCTCCAAATAACCTTCCTGTTCTTCTTTTGTGGTTATTCTTAAACTAAGACATGCTTTAGAAAAGACGAGATAGACGTTGCTTGTGCACTGTATTGTTTGTGGGTGAACCCACACCACACCCAAAGCACTCCCCAGAGGGGTGCTTTGCAGGGGGTTCACCGCCAATGAGCCATCCCGAGCAGAGAGCCTGCAGTGGCCCGTGGCTGCTAAGTAAGCTGTGCTGGTTTAGCAGCACAAACGGGTCGACATAAACTCCCTGCCCCGACACAGAAAGTCAGATACACTAATCGCTAACTACCTAGCTCCCCCCACTCTTCTCAAAGGTTTCCATGTGAATTAGCATGATGCATTTACTGTCAACTAGCTTGCACGTTGATCTATTGTTAGCCTCACATCAAACTCCTTGGTACTGCTTCTTGATGTGTGTATTTATGTGTGCGGTGGGGCGACCTGTACATTCACGTGAGTGGATGGGATAAGAATATAATAGCTAAAATACAATGCTGCACCCAGCTACAGAGTCTGCGTTACAAAAAAAAGACGACCAGCCTCACTCGCGCTTTGCTCCAGTATCTCCGCGTCCGCTCCTCGCGATGGATGCCGATTTACTTTGATAAGCAGCCTGCATTTTAAAACAAACACACCCAAACCGCTCGTCAAGCTTGCCGCTACGTTAGCTAGCTATCGCGACGGATGGGAAGGGATTTCTTTGCAATTGTGTCGCTAACGATGGCAAACTTTGTCCCGTCGTGTTCTGTAACTGTAACTCACCGAAGTGCGCCGTTTTGCTCTTTCTTCTTCTGGTATTCCAGCGGGCACATCAGCGGAAAGCAGGCTGCTAACCGTTTTTGTTAGGCTAACACTCCCGGACACGACGATGCGCCTCGCAACAGCTGTGTTCTGTTTTGAATGAGGGCTGAGGAGGAGAGGAGACGCCGCTAACGGGCGGAGCTTCCCGGGTGCACAGCGGGCCGATCTGCCCTTTATCCTCTGCAGTAGCTCGTAATGTACGGAGACCTTTTGCTACTGTTTATATCATCCGCAGGTTGTCAATGCACTGCCAGTTAAAGGCTTGGCAGATGGGATTCGCACAGCCCGCCCTCTATTGTAGTGCCGGACTTCTGTTTGAAGGGCTGGTTGGCTTCAAAAGGGCTAAAAGTTCATGGGTTCTCCTCTGACTCCCTCTTGTGGACAAGACACCATTGTGCTTTTCAAAATTGTTGAGAAGACTATTTTTTCACCCTAGTTATAGTGTTTGTGTCCCCACAGTGGAAATGGCGCATTTTATGCGATACAACTGGAGTTAGTGATGACTTCTCAGCAGTTTTCACACTTTGTGATGGCATCTGGGCAGGTTGAATTAGACCCTTTAGTGGGGCAGTTTTGGCCCAGGCCACATGTTTCACGTCTCTGCTTAGTATAGTATAAGCTTAATATAAAATCTCCAAAGCAGCACTAAAACTAGGTGTGAAATAACAAAAAAAAATTAGACTTTTGGGGAAAAGGAAAACTAATTGAAATGATATTAATGATATAACTAAAATAAAGTGACCTAAACCTTTTTTATCTGATGGGTATATTTGTTTCAAACTGTATAGGCTCATGTGTAGTCATTTATACACCACAAATCACAGAAACATGGGGGAAAAAAAATCAACACTTGCACAGAAATGAGATGAATGTACCATTTTTTTATTTTTTTTTGCAAATGTTTTGAATGTATTGATGCACTTAATCATGTTTTTAAAAATAATAGACATTATCTTCAATCTTTGAACCCTGTGAACGAGGTGGGTTTATTCAAACAAACTATCTAACAAATAATCTAAACCAAAACAACGATAATTCAACAAAAGTGTGCTACTCCCCAAACTTAAGCTGCCTTTCCTTTTCTATACCATGCAGCTCCCTCGCTCGATTTTTCAGCTCCTCTGCTTTCTTTTCATCCTTTTCTGTACCATCCCCAAGTCTGTACATGCGACTTGCATTGGCACAGCCCCACACGTGTCCCAGCTCACAAGCCCTGTTAGCGTATTTTAGAGCGAGAGCCATATCTGATGCCAGCCCTTTGGAATTGCCCTCAATGAACAAAGCGCTGAGGTTAAAGCAGGAAGGAGCGAATCCACCTGCGCAGGCCTTCTCATAGTACTGCCGAGCTGCTTTCAGGTCAGGTCCTCCTTCCATAGCTTGTCCGTCATGGGCTAAAAGACCAACATTATGGCAAGCGTCTACAGACTTCTTTCCTCCAGAATTGCAGGAGTGCAGAAAACAAGAGTAGGCTGCTTTTAGACACTGGGTGACTCCACCTGGTGGAGAAAAAAAAAAGATTAGGGGACTGACTTAGAATTTTGTAATGGCATTACTTAAGTAGAAGTAACCTTAGAGGTCATTCATGCTAGCAACAAGCTGCAAAATGTATCAAAGGATCAAAATTACAAGTAGTACTTAAATGACTGGTGATAATATGTGCACTATATTATGCACAGTTGCTTCAATAAGTCATCGCTTCAGAAGCTTATCCTGGAAACTTTTCAGCTTTTACAGTTGTGCTGACACAAAATACTGTGACAGCTAAAGGAACCACGGACCAGTTAGGCTTACTGGTTGCCCTTTCATGAGCTTTTCTTATAAAATCTTAATTTGAATAAAATAAAATGGCACAATATTTCGATTTCACATTGAAATGTAGTAGGGTAGATATAAAAGTCTAACAGAAACTCAAAGCCTTCAGTATAGTGTTTAGTATTTAACACTTCAGAAAAGATAAATAAGGAGGTTAAATATCCACCTTTGCCGGTGACGTGGTAAGCACCGAGTTTATAGCAGCTCTCTCCATGCCCATGCGTCTCACAGTTATGTTTGAGCACTTGTGCTGCAGAATCGTAGTTCTTCTTGACCCCTTCCAAGTAGTCAGCGAGCCTTTGGCACCCTAAAAGCATGAAACAGGGGGCAAAGAGTGAGGAAAACAGAACTGCATAACTACCATGTGTTTCAGCACCACCGATCTGTGAACAGCTCAGAAACTTCTACCTTCAGGATCTTTCTCATTGTAGCACTGAAAGCTGTACTCCACGCCTAAATTATCCAAAAACTGCTTCACTTCCTTCTCGTCTTCAAAATTTATAAGTCCAGCCATTTCTCCGCTTTACTTGAACTAGTTTCACCTCTGCAACAATCACATGTGCTCAGCTCCTCACGGCGTCCACCGCTGCTGCTTGACCTTGATGACTGACTTTGATATGCGATGCTGAAAAAGTTCTTCCCAAAACGCAAAGGTCTGTCTGGATGCTTGCCGCTATATGTGAAGTCATTATATGAGCAAAGTGTGCTTGATGGTATAATAGTGTCCCTTTGAAAAGCAGATGGACGCGGTCACGTTTGTCTTCGGCTGTTCGCTTCCTGGTTTTGTAACCCTTCCTTGCGGGCTTCCGTAGTCCAGCCTCCCTTCGTTAATGTACTTCCGGTGCTATGACCTTTGTTTACTGTCTGTCTAGTCGCTCTAGTTAAAAATAGATCCAACTGCTCACAGTGGAAATTACATGCCAAACAGGTTTCTAGGTTCAGTCTTTCGGTCGCTTCAGCAGCTGGTCGACATGAATTCCCCCTCATTCGTAAGCTTTCGACGTTTTTGCTCGCCTGGTGATTTTCTACCACCGAGACACCAAGTGAGCTAGCTAGCTGGCTCTCTGTTAAGCTCCGTTGTGTTCGTGCGTCGTCACGTTCTCCTGGTACCTCTTAGAGTGATCAGCAGCTCCTCAGACTCTCACACAGGTGGACACTGTAAATTGAAAGGGAAAGAGGTGTCCGAGACGACGAGCAGGCTGGTTATATAATCACAAGTCTCGGTTGTACAAGCTAAAATATATTTTCTTTTAAAGCCTTTGCCATGGCCTGCAGTTTCCTGAACACGGTAAGTCTCAGGTGATTTATTTGCTTTGACAGTTGTAGAAAATTGTACTCGGTGCATCCACATCAACACACCTCTTGGTTTTCAGGAGGAGGCGTCTCCAGCGGCTCTGACAGACCTGTGCCTCACCTATGTGAGCCAAAACCTGGAGTGTTTCTGCGTGAAGCGCCCTGATGGCTCCTTCTGTTTCAGGGAGGCTGTACTCTTCCCGCAGGAGCTGGCAGACCAGCTCCTGGCCAAAATGGCCACTGAAGGTAAACCTTTAAAGACGTTTACGAATAGTCCAGAGTATTGCTGCAGCCTAGCGCTCTAGTTTCTACACACATACATTATTCATTGGATCATAAAAGGTCACCATGATACTAATGAGGATGAAAAATCTTAACTTGCACTTGGGGGAAATATTTGAAGTGAAAGCCACTTCAAACTGATGGCCAGTAAACTAAATCCTTGCCCTGGGTAAAAAGCCAGTGTTGTTTAAGGTTGTGCTTGATTCCGAAAGATAAATTCACTCTGCTATAGGTCTGCTGAACGACAGCACAGTGGGTGTGTTTCGGAACTGTGAATACTTGCGGTTGAGACGGGCCTGCATCCGTACTGCACGGATCTCTGCAGAGGCCTTCCAGAAAGCCCTGTGCCCTCACAGATTGCTGGAGTTGGATGCTGCCCGGGTCAATGCAGACCTTACCATTCCTGATATCCTGCAGGGGCTGGCCACTAATAAATATTGTCAGGTAATATGAGAGTGTGTCAGTTTTTTGTGGATAACTGCCCTTTCTTTCCACTGTATGAAAGTAATTTAAACTTTCTCCCTGCAGGAGTCCCTTCAGCGACTTGTCCTTACAGGCCTCACCATGTCCTCTCTGGAGGAACCAATCTGGTATCGCTTCAGTGCCCTCCAGGGCTTGCGTTCCCTCTCTCTAGCTAATGTAGACTTCTACGACTCTGGGCTAGGCGATGTGTGTTCCCTGCCTCGGCTGGAGAGCCTCGATCTTTCTAATACTTCAGTCACAAACCTGAGCCCGCTGCTGGGCCTGAAGGAGCGGCTGCGCTCACTGACACTGCATCAGTTGAAAAGGCTGGAGATGAGCACTGCTCAGCTGCTGGGAGTCATAGGCCAGTTGAATGTATTGCAGGTTAGTGGTTTGATTGTGTGTCTAGTATTAAACCTGTTTCTCTGTTTTTGTTTTGGGTTTTTTTCAAAAACATTTTAAGAAAACTCCATCTCTGAGGTTTTATAAGCCATGCCTGTTTGTGTGTGTGTAAACCTTTGCACATGCAGCACCTGGACATTAGTGATGATAAACAATTTACCTCTGACGTGGCTCGTCAACTTCTCGGACAGCCAGGGATTCTGCCCGCCCTTGTTTCCTTAGATGTCTCAGGGAGGAAACAGGTGTGTTCATCTGCTTTAATATTTTTATTTGTTTCTTGGTTAAACCGCAGTCAAAGCACACATATTTTAAAGTCGAGTAATTTCTTATATCTGTGAATGTTACAGGTGACAGATGCAGCTGTTAAGGCATTTGTTGAAGAGAGGCCAGGAATGACCTTTGTGGGACTTCTGGCCACAGATGCTGGTTTTTCAGACTTCCTATCAGGAGAAGGAAATCTAAAGGTAGGTATAGAATGATCATAAATGGGCACTAAACAAAAAGTGAAAACATCAGGTTTGCTCAAGTATCTTCTGTGTGCCATCAGGTGACTGGAGAAGCTAATGAGACTCAGATCTGTGAGGCACTGCGGCGCTACAGTGAGAGAGAAGGTTTTGTGAGAGAAGCTCTCTTTCATCTGTTTAGCCTCACTCATGTCATGGAGAAGCCAAGGCCTGACATCCTAAAGGTAAACACATTATCCTTGAACCTATTAAGTTATTATTTTACTTAATCTTTAAAAGAAATTATAGCATCATATCATGGTTAAGTAGTGCACATAATGTCTTAATCTTAATTGGTCCCTTTGTCAGCCACAGATATCCTCCTTAAGTGAAGAAGCACTATACTACCATTGTATCTCTGCACAGTTTAGTTACTCATCATTCTCGACTTCCTGTTTCTTGAATTTTTTTTCTTCCTCTTTCTGTGTTTTTTTTTTTTTTAAATAGCTGGTAGTTTTGGGAATGAAGAATCATCCGTCCACTCTGAATGTCCAGCTAGCCGCGAGCGCCTGTGTGTTCAACCTGACGAAGCAGGACCTGGCAGCAGGGATGCCAGTTCGACTGTTGAGCACCGTCACTCAGCTTCTACTGGAAGCCATGAGGACTTTCCCCAACCACCAGCAGGTAGCTTCATGCCTGGCTGCTTTTGCTCATTCCCAATAAACAGTTAGTTTATAACATAGATTTTATTTAGCAGGTTGCAATTGACTGATACAGTTTACCTGCACAGAGAATTCTTCTTTCTTCTTCTTCTTCTTCTCTTTTTTTGTCCATTATGTCACAGTTTCTCAGAAAATAGCTCTTTGCATGTTATAATGGCATTCACTGACACAATTTTCCTTTCACACATTAGTGGATTTCTTGATTTTAAATGTGTGGGTTTTGTAACTCGTAACATAGAGGATGAAATGGTCATTTACCAAAAAAATAACAGCTAATAAGGATAAATTGGAAATTATAATTATAGATTATAAATCTTTTTAAAGGGCACAAAGTTTTTCCATTTTAAAAGCATCAAGATTGTCGTTGCTCTACATGGATTTTATAGCCAATTTTTTTTCTTTTTGTTGCCTGTTTATACAGTAGACATTATTACATTCACTCTCACAACCTGCTTCTGCATACATTAATAATAAATCAAACTTGGTCAACTAAGTTGTCAGATAGATGTGTTAAACAAAAGTAAGAAATCAAGTTTAAAGGCAAGCACAGTTTTAGTCCAGTATTCTTGAGGGTAGTGGCAGGAGCGTGTCAGCTTTGGAGAACACTGTGTTAGCTGGGTCGTTTGGTAACGCCTGTGAGTGTTGCGACAATATGAAATTTAGAAAGATTTGAGGAACTTCCCACAACCACAATAAGTAGTTTCCCTTTTTTTTTTTTACAAAACACAAGTAAATAGTGCACTGCGTAACGTTATGTTTGTTTGTTCCTCAGTAACAAGATTTCCAAATCAATACAGCCTGGAATGGAAACAAATGCAGGGATCTGGTCACAAGTAGAAATGAACCATTATAGGAAGTGACGTGCACAGCTGGATATTGGACAAAAGGATTTGTTAAGCGATACACATTTTATTCTAAAATTATGGGGGAAACGTGCTTTGTGCGATAACTGTTCAGTGTTGTGATGATGTACAGTTGAGGTTGTGTTGTGTTTTAGCCACATGCTGAATAGGCAGTTTTTATAGATAGATGGATACTTTATCTATAGAAGCATAATAAAAAATAAAAATGAGTCCACAGTAAATAAACAACACAGTTAAAGTGCCACAGGTGCATAGTGAGTAGAACTTATGCTGTGTGATAGTACAAGAAATGTTGCTCTTATATAAAATAAATAAATAAATAAAAATGGGGTAATTAAAGAATAGTAAAGTAAGACTTAGATTGTGTGAGAGAGTGGTTCAAATTACAATAATAATATCTACACTATAATTCTTAGAAATATGATTTGAACGTTACTTCTTGTGTTTTTATGTCAAACATTTCCTCTGTTGGATGTTTCAGACAAGGGACAAATATCCCTTGAAAGGTTGTGATGGGAATCCAGCATTTTAAAAAAACAAATATCTGTATCCATCCACTGTGGTGACCTTTTATAAATAAGGGAGTGTCCAAAAGAACCTTTGTTAGTTCTGTTGTTTTTCACTGTGTATTTTCCCCATGTCGTCCACTAAAGAGACTGTCCACAAAGTCAAGAGAAAAAAAAAAGAATTTAGCATATGCTTTCTAAACTAGCTCACATGTTTGCATGCGGAATTAATGTTTCTCCTATTGTTGTAAGCTTGAAAATGCAGTTTATCTGTGAGCACTGTTATTTATTCATTTTCCATTATATTTTCCTGCACAGGCTCTAAGTCAGATATAATATTTAACCAGCCTATTGTGACTAAACAGAACTGATAAGAAGATAAAAACATAGGAGCAGCAGGAGCAGCAGTCTGATAGCTTTTAGGTTCTGCAATCATGGCTGTTTTCTCTTTTTATAGTTGCAGAAAAACTGCTTGCTGTCTCTGTGCAGTGATCGCATTTTGCAAGAAGTTCCATTCAACAGGTGGGAAACACCACATTTGTTGTGTAAATATTGATCATTTTGTTATTAGTTTTTTTTTTTTATTATTTTATTTTAATTTTTTAATTTTCATTTTTTTTAAAGGTTGTCAAAGATTTTAACTATAAACATGCCAAAATGTGATCAAAGTTAATTCGTAATTCTCGGTTTGTGACGTAACACATTTTCAGTAAAGGTAGAATTTAAAATGCTCTGCTTCCTTTTACTGTTTAAAGGTTTGAAGCTGCCAAACTGGTCATGCAGTGGCTTTGCAACCACGAAGATCAAAACATGCAGAGGATGGCTGTGGCAATCATTTCCATACTCGCTGCTAAGGTACATTTGGTGTTGTATTAGTACCACATATGCGGTTATTCATGCATTGAAAGTACATCTGTAGGGTATTTTCTTTGAGTGCTGCAACATTTGCTTTTTTGCAGTTATCCACAGAGCAGACGGCCCAGCTGGGAGCAGAGCTGTTTATCGTGAAAGTATGTTTTGAGTTGTTCTTTTGTTGTTGTTGTTTTTTAATCTTGGATGACTTTCATCTGCCTTTACTCATTTATCGAAAAAAGGCTGATTTTCAGTACAATGCATTCTCTCTGCCCTGCAGCAACTGCTCCACATCGTGCGTCAGAAGGCAACTCAGGGCGTGGTGGATGCCACCCTCAAATTTACACTGAGTGCACTCTGGAACCTCACTGATGAATCGCCAACAACCTGCCGCCATTTTATCGAAAACCAGGGGCTAGATCTCTTCATTAAAGTTCTAGAGGTACATGGAAATTATGTGAACATGTAAAGAAAACAGGCAATGCTACATACAGAACAAATTTAAGCAGATTTCTATAGGAATTCATCATCACACTTAATGATGTGTTCCTCCGTATAAGTACACATGGCTTCGGGGCAAGATGACTCACTGTTGTTTTTATCCCTACCTCCCCCTCTCTTTATCTGCAGTCGTTCCCCAATGAATCTTCTATTCAGCAGAAGGTTCTCGGGCTTTTGGTGAGTTTACTTCTCTTTTTTTCATCCCGAAGCTAAACTGAATCTGGAATGCGTTAACAAAATTAAGGAATCATTATTCCCTGCTCGCCTTTTGATTGTTGTAGAACAACATAGCAGAGGTTGGGGAGCTGCATGGAGAGCTCATGGTGCAGGGGTTTCTGGACCACATCAGCAGTCTGCTGCACAGCCCGGAAGTGGAGGTCAGCTACTTCGCTGCAGGCATCCTTGCACATCTGACGTCACGAGGAAAAGAGGCCTGGGCGCTCAGCCCCAGTCTTCGGTCCTCACTGCTTGAGCAATTGGTAGGAATAAGCAAGCTTAATGAGAACTCTTGTGCATAAATACAGTTATTGGAAATGTTGGTTTTTAGCGTGATGCGTTTGTGTGTCTGTGCAGCATGCTGTCATTATGAAGTGGCCCCCGCCAGAGTGTGAAATGGTGGCCTACAGGTGAGATACAGCTTCTATTCAATAATGATGGAGTATTATAAAAAGGATGCCAAAACAGGAAACCTTCTTGCCGAGAGGCGACTATGCTAACTATTGTGTCAGCAAAATCTCAAATTTATAGATCTCAGAGCCAAATCTTCCAAACCTCATGTTAATACGTTACATTCAGTTCAATGTTTTGTTTTTTGTTTTTCCTTAATGTATTTGGAGACAAATCCTGTAATCTCAGGGCACCTAATATTATAACGCCAAGACCCTACAAACCAATAAATTGAAGCATTTGATGACAGTGGGGGGGAAACCGCCTTTAAACTCTAAAAGACCTCTAGTAGAATCGGGCATCCTTTATCCTGAGACAGACAAAATAGATTAAAAAAAAAGGTGCACACAGAGATGATAAATTACAAACAAGGTAAAGCACAAAACTGTAAGCAAGTGTAAGCAAAATTAAATGGCAATAGTCATAGTGACATTTCAGTATAATGTGGGTTTAATGTAAGACATTAGGGACAAGTGCGTAGTACATCCCAGCCTCCAGAGTCTAGCATAACAAAGGAATGGTTCAGGGTCACCTGATCCAGTCCTAACCATAGTGTTTATCAAAAATGAGCATTTTAAGCTTGATCTTAAATTACAGATGGTGCCCGTCTCTCCCACTTTTGAGTAGCTGGTTCTACCTGTAAGGGACGCGATGGCTGAAGGCTCTGCTTCCCATTTTAATCCCGTCACACAATAATTGTCATTTTCTTCCCTTCTTTAGGTCATTTAACCCCTTCTTTCCCCTACTGGAGTGTTTTCACACCCCTGGTGTCCAGCTGTGGGCAGCCTGGGCAATGCAACATGTCTGTAGCAAGAACGGTGAGACACAGATCCATGCAAAAATAAAACCAAAGGTTATTCTAGCTTAATGTGATGCCTCACCTACTCAAACCTCTTGTGGATACTTCTGTGTGTGCAGCTTCTCGCTATTGCAGCATGTTGTTGGAGGAGGGTGGTCTGCAGCAGCTGGAGCATGTTCACAAACACCCACAGACCCACAGAGACGTCAAACTGCTGGCTGGGAGCATACTAGAGAGCCTACAGCGCCACAGAGCTCGCACCGGCCAGCCACTACACACACACACAAGTCACCGCCCACCGCCGCAGTAACCTCACAGAGGTAAGGCATGATCAGCAGCTAGCTCACCCTCGCAGAGGTTGAAGATTGATTATGCTTTCATTCTCTTTCAGAAAATCCGAATCTCTGGTGAAGAAGAGGAAATTAAGCTGGGTCCCACCGTGGATGGGAGGTGGTGGTCACGTGTGTGTTTGTGTGTGTGAGAATATATCTCACACACAAACATGGACTTACAAGAATCTCTAAAAATGTAAACTGAATTAAGGACAGAGGCATTGCAGTTCTTTGCACAGAGTAACCTTATTTATTTTCTCGCTTTTTTCTCTTTAAAAAACCATTTCTCTGTGTGCTTATCAAAAAATAAGAAAAAAGTAAATTATGATAAACTGTCTGTCACTAGAGCTCAAATCAAATCATGAATTTGTGTTTGGGCCTTTTTCAGTCAGCTTTTGGTATCAAGAGGAATTGTTTTTTGTTGTTTTTTTAACCCGAAATATGTCAGTGCACACTTACAAATCTCAGTTTGGGAATAATTCCCCAAAGCTCAACTGAGGACCGATACCCTGATACCCTCATATGTTACAGAGTACTATGGATGTCTGAACTGGTTGATTAGCTCTTAAATTTACGCATGCCATCGCCCTGAGCTCAAGCATGGGGGTTAGGGTTTGTCTGAATGCTTATACTGTTCGTTTTAGGAATGCCTGCTTGTTTGTTTATGGCAGTGCTCAGTTCACTGAAACCCCCGCCTCTGGGTCTGCAATACTACTGCTGCTCTACTCGTCATTTAGTCTTTTATCAGCTAACGCCTTTGATTTGATGTGACAGGACGCTTGCCGAGGGTGTATTCAGTGGGTTCGGGCGTTCCAAACATTCAAACACGATAAACTAAATTATAGAGAAATCATCTTTTTGAGAAACTCGATTGCATTTTTTTTTTTCTTTAAATTTTCTAAACATTGGGGAGCCCTAAATCCACCCGCTTGGTGGCAGAGCCAGCAGTGCAGAAAGCTCACGAGGACAATTTACATGATAAGCTGAGTACTACAGTCACATGTGTCTGTTTACGTCCAAATATACTTTCCTGGACACAAATGGCAATAATGATGTGGCCAGCATAGTGAGGATAGGTGTACATTTGCAGTGAGTCACATCTGTTTTCTCTTTGAGAAACTTGTGTATATATTTATATATAAGTATGTTTTTTGTTATGCATCTGAGTGTCTTTAAGACAGACAGCACTTCAGTGTGAGCATGTGTGCATATATGCGCTTGTACAAGTGTCTGCATCTCAAAGAGTGTATGTATTTGTACATAAGGATACTGAAGGGGGGAGGGGGGTCGTTGTTTAGGAGTGATTGCATGGAAATTATTCTACTGTATGTTTTTCAGTTCCATCTGATTGAACAAAGGGAAGAAAAACTGTTTATACAACAATAGCGTGGAAACATTTAAATTATTTAAAGGCATTTCTCTGTTCTGAAAGTGACCGGCCGTGTGATGTCTGCATCCTACAGGCTGCTATTTTAACAGTTATGCTTCTGCCGTTTAGACTTGCTGTTACAGCTTATGAGACTGGCTACATTTTTGTTGTTCATCTCTTATTGCAGGCCTTGTCATTTACTATGCTGTCAACACATAACTAGGAAAGAGTACTGAGGAGTAATGAAGCAGAATAAAGTACAATTATTTTTGCATTTTGAGAATAAAGTCGACTCCCTTAATCCACAAACTAAAGGTAGGAAAGTGACCACTGACTGCCAGAATGGAGGTGATTTTTCTGGTCAAAGTTTATTCTCAAAATGCAAAACTTTTGCTGAAACACTTTGATAAATAACACTTTCTAAATAATTGGAGATAAATTTGTTTGGCAGGAATGCCAGTGACAGGTCAGGAGACTTGAAAAGATTACTGGATGTATGGTTATATAGATAAATATAGAACATTAGGCTCCAAAATGATACTTAATGACGCATGTGTCCCAGGCTAATAGTGTTTCCACAAGGATAGTCTTAGATGACAGAACTTTTGGGGGTTTTTTCCGCCAAAGTCGTGTAGTTTGGTTGAATATCGCCCTGCATAAAAGGCCAGTTCTTAGTTTTTTCCACAAGCGTTTTAATCCATTGGAAGATGCAGAAAGTCAAGGTACTGTATGTCTGCTGTGATTGTGCCATGTTGCTGCTCAGAATCGCATTTTCAAATTTAGAAATAAAGAATGTACATTGCCATAAAACTGGAGATGACCCATGTGCTGTCTTTTTTATTTATTTAGTTTCATTTCAAAGATGACCTTGTTCCTGATAAAGCATCAAATATAACAAATTATAAACAATCTGCACTTGTCAGTCTGATCCTGAGTCACAAAAGCAAGTGGCCACTATTGAGCACTTGCATGGCCTAAATTAATGTACTGGCACCGGCTGAGAGTCACAAAGACAATCAATAGATGTTAATTGTTTATCTGACATCGGGCTACAGAAAGCAGTGTGCTTCTGTGTTCACATGTCGGTACGACAAAGAAATCCAGTAGCTCAAAGGAGTTTATTCCCCAGTGTACCGCGGAGCTCTCTTCTCTATGAAGGCTGCCATACCCTCTTGTCGGTCCCGTGTGGGGATGACCTATAAAGAGAGGACAAGTAAATGATGATTTAAGTGGAGCGAGCATCAGAAGGTTCATGTCAAAGCTAGGCCCGACTAGAATTTAATTTATAACAGCCTCAGCATCAGCTATGTGTTGGGTTGCCTTAGAATTTAGCTCAAAAGAAAATTCCTGAACCACAACAATTATGCCAAATTAAAACAAGTGTTTCGGAAATCATAAACAAGAAGTGGAAGACTTACTCGAGCATAACACATCCTCTCTATCGCCATTGCTGAACCGATATCAACCTGGAAGAGAGAACAGTCACTAAATTCACTGATGTAAAGACCTTTAAAGAAGATCTGGGATTCATAATGTACCTCCAAGCCTCTGTTCATTGCCTCTTTAGCCATCCGCACTGCAATAGGAGCCTGAGCAACAGAAAATAAAAGGGTTAGATGCCGATGGTATTATCTCCTTCCATCCTAATCAGGTGCCCAAACCACCTGGATTGGCTCTACTTTAAATATAGGACCTTTGGAATATAAACAATGATAGACACAAAAATGCTCACCTTCCTTTACGTTTTTGTCTCTGATACTTAGCTACTCTATTTCACTCTACCACTGACGTCCCTTTATCTTGTTGTTTATTCAATTTTTTGTTCAAAAATTAAAGTTTGAGAGAGAGAATCAAAAATATTAAACTGTTGATCAATCAATGTGAGCAATGCATTTCTACAGAAATTTAACTGGAGGAACTCTTTACAGTTTAATCACATGCAAGCAGCAGTACATTTGTCTTAGAAATTCCAGGAAAACAGAAGTGCCAAAATAAAGATCTACACCCTCTTATTATTTCCTCTGTGCTCCCTCACTTTGATTCAGTGCAAGATCCTGTTAATCAATCAATCCGTGCTAAGTCGAGCATAAATGTGTTGGAAAATGTGATAGTGTATGGTGCTATTTGTGGTCCATTTCTCCACTTGACTGCCACTCTAACCCCACTGACTGTGGGCATCTGAACTGGAGTGAAAGATATATGGAACGACAGAGGCCTGGAGAGAGGGACAAGCAGAGGGAGATGGTGAGAGGGAAGGTGGGAAGAGGAAAAAAAAAAAACAAGACGGAAGAAAGGAAAAAAGAAATGCATTGTTTTTGTTTCTTCCCCTTCCACTGCATCCAGAGAAAGGGGAAAGGGAGCAGATCCCCCTGCCTGAAGGAGGAGAGATGCAGCAGTATCAGAGCTTTAGCGGCATGAAAAGTGTGTTTGTACTCTAACCTGGGGCAGTATCTCCCTGGCCAGGCTGAGTGCCTCTCTGTAGGCAGCGTCTCCTGTCTGGTTCTGTTCTACTACTCTGTTTATGAGCCCCATTTCCAGAGCTGTCTGCCCTCCCACGCGCCTGCCTGATAACAGACAAGGAGAGACAGTGACACACCAAATCCTTGCTCACTGATGAGCATTCAGTGCCACTAAAATCACATCAATATTTCTGAATTACTACCTGTGAAAATGAGCTCTTTGGCCAGAGTGACACCGATCATCCGTGGCAGACGCTGACTGCCCCCTGCAGGACAAACCACCTCAAGGTCAACTTATCACAGCTGCTTTATCTCTATTTACATACAGTCAGTGCAGTTCAGGGTCATTTCAGTGACCTCTGTTCGTCTTACCCGCCCCTGGGAGCAGCCCCCGTGTCGTCTCAATAAGACCCATCTGTGCCGAATTTGCTGCAACACACATACACACACAAACAGAGGACAGTTGAAGGTCTAAGTGCCATTAAGCTGGAGAGAGTGTAAAATCTGACTGATGTCTCTGTCAGAGCAATTGACACAAACACCTGCTCACCCAGCTCATCTGTGCTCAACCAATCACTGAGCTGCTGCGCCTAATATAACCAATCACATGAAGGTTCAAACGCATGAACAGCTGGGCAGATGTGGCCTCATTAGTCCCCAAGCTCATCAACAGATCATTAGAGCTCCATCGTCTCAGGAGTATGTTTTTAGCTTGACCATTGTGTATATAACACATTTACATTTATTCAAAGCTGTTTAAAAGCTGACAGTTTAATTTCCCCCTAAGTTACTTATAAAGAGTTGGGAAAGTTTTGTTTCATTTTAGAAGATATTGTTTCAGTAAATTACCTGTTCATTAACTGTGATAGCTGAAATTGTGTAAATATTGTGTGAATAGTCCAACATATATTCATTTAAACTAAATAGTAAAATAAAATTTTTTTACGTCAGTCTACATATAATGGAAACTTTTAAAATACACAGTATTTTGAAATCTTTTCAGAAACGTTTTCTGCGCTCTAAGATTATTTTTTGCCCCCCCCCCCCGGGGAATCCTGTGTGTCCAATGAGGAAATTGTCAATGAAGAGAAATGATCCCATGTTGAAACTGCTATTCTCCACCACTGATCTGATATGAGTGGATTAGTGACAGCTGTAAAGGGAACATGACATCCCCTTTCTAACCTGATTAGCATCACCGGAAGAAAGAAAGCAGATCCGATTCGGAGTTGACAGGTGAAGGTTCAGAGGTCACTCACCAGCAGCGCGAAGGTCACAGGCCAAGGCTAACTCCAATCCACCTCCCAGTGCAACTCCATCCATCGCTGCGATGGTCGGCGTGGGCAACAATGCTGCCAGGTTATTGAAACAAAGTGAGCAAAGTTTACAAATGGATAAACACATTTAGCTTGAAAAAAAGACTGACTAATCACTCAACCTTAATGGGTTTTTTTTGTTGGTTTTTTTACCTATTTGAGTCATGAGGGAGCGCAGGCCGTGAACAAACAGATCAGACTCAGAGTTGTTCATCAGAGCTCTCTCCTTCAGATCGGCACCTAACCATAAATCATAACGCACATGGTCACACATCATTACTGCACACTTTGATCACACCTTCCTGGCACCAGAGATCACTCACCTGCACAGAAAACGCCCGGCACTAAACTCCTGAAGATAACCACACGTACCGCTGAGTCATTGTACAGAGTGGAAACCACCTTCCTCATCTGCACACACACACGTCATCATGTCTCAGTGGCTGCTGCATATGTGTTTAATGTATGTGTATGTGTGTGTGTGTGTGTGTGTGTGTGTGTGTGTGTGTGTGTGTGTGTGTGTGTGTGTGTGTGTGTGTGAGTGTGAGAGAGAGAGAGAGAGAGAAAGACGTGGAAGTCTGTGCTTACCTGTGACACAAACACATTGCCGAGAGCATTTCTGGCTTTGTGCCGGCACATCAACACTTCTACGATCCCTGAGGAAAAGAAAGCAACAACAGGAATAAAGGGCAACAGCTAGAAATTAATCTTGCTGAGTTTTTATAAACATGCCGTTTACAATTCAGTAAAAATGTGGGTTCATTAACTATTTATTTCCACCATGACCATGATGGAAATCAAGAGTATCAAACCATGGAATCGGCTTTCTAAAGTCACCTTAGTCTGGAAGACACGTAGTAGGCCTAATACGTAAAACATCCTGAAACAAAAATATTTAATTTGTAACAAAAGCCAGTTGAAACCTAAAACGCTCACATATACGTGTTAAAATACTCTGCTGTTAAAAGAAAATTAAAGAAACTCATCAGATTCTTGTGGGATATATCTACTGATATGCTACCATCTACTGATGGCCTGAAACAATGTTACAGGCAGCATAATGTTCACCGCGACTTTTCCAGGCCCTCCCATGTCTGTCACTTGTGCTCAGGGTGAGCCTGCTATCATCTGTGACAAGCACAGGATGCCACTGGTGGACCTGCCTACTGGGCTCCACGGTGCTGGGCAGTGAACACAGAGCCCACTGGAGGAGGCTGACCTTCATAAAGTCTATTTCTGATTGCTTGGCCAGAGATATTCACACCATTGGCCTCCTGTTGGTCAATCTGTTGGGCTCATCCTGTTCCTCCTTGCATAAAGGAGCAGATATCAGTCCTGCTGATGAGTTAAAGACTTCTATGGCCCTGTCCAGCTCTCCTAAAGTATATGCTCGTTTCCTGGAATCAGTTCCATGTTCCTGTGACTGTGCTGGGAGACAAGGCAACCCTTCTAGCAATATTGTTATACCATCCTGGAGGATTTGCACTACCTGTGCCACCTCTGTAGGGTGCAGGTATTGCTCATGCTAACAGTGGTGACACTGACCCTAGCCTTATGCAAAACTAATGGGGAAAAAAGTCAGGAAAGATGAGAAGGGAAGAAACTGCTGGTGACCTCCACCTGTAAATGACCAGATCAATATCCCAGAAGTTTAACTGACTTGATGCTACACTCTGATTAAAATGTGCTCCTTTAACCTGACACATGACATGTGTAAAAATAATGTCGAACATACAAAATAAACATGGAAACAATAAAGCTACATAAAAATATGTTCGCACAATGCGAAAATGGCTTGCTTGTGCGCATGAAACTTATTAAAAATACACATTGCTATGCATTAAACACATAACTCGAATTAAAATGTATTAAGAGTAGCAAATTAATGATTTAGTCAGTGAAGAAATTTAAAACTTCGTGCAAAATTAAAGAAATAAGGGGGGGCACTACTTTTCAACTCCCAGCAGAATGTGGTTACTTTCTTACTACACGCCTAAATAAATGTTTACTGGTAGTTCTGATAAACAGTAACGCGTTATG